TTCCCATTGGCATTTTCTTGTCCAAGGCAATGCTGACAGATGTCGTTCATTCCGAGAATATTATTAAGCTGTGTTGCTCTTTTGGTTGTTGGACTCACGGGTGTTGCTGTAGCGATTGTACCATGAGTATTTAATCAATTTGGCTCCATTTCTGATCATTTTTTAGATGTGTTACTCTCCATAAACATTATCTCTAAAGGTTCTTAAGAAACTATTATTCTTAGCATGATTATGTAATTAGCAAACAGTATCCTAAGCTAAAAAATGTAATCCTAAACCCAATTTACTTCTTCGACATTCAAGATCTAGTTGGAGCAACTTTTTAAAAGAATGATAAATGGAAACTTTCTTTACCTGACCTATCATTTGTTCTGTAGACTTAATGACATTCAGTACTATTACATTCACTGCTAGGGCCTTGGGAGGAAAAAGGGAATATTTATACATTGAGTTATGGACAGATGTAGGAGGGGAAAAAAAGGAGATGGGCAGGAAGTCAGACTGTATAGAACAGAGAAGAATTTGAGACCTTCACTCTACATGGATTAATCACAAGGACTAACCACGCAGATCCAAATGGATATTTAGAAATTGGTGAAGCCTCTAAGATGTTCTGTCGAAAACACCATACGTTTCTAATGCATGAATATGTGCAAAATGATGTGTAATTTATAATGGAAATGTTGACAGAGTTTTAGCCTTTGTGCTGCAAATGTGCTCTATAATATATTTACATACGAGTAACATTCCACATATATGGTCACGTTTGTACCCAACATATTTCTTTAGTTGCTGTTAGATTCAATAACTTAGGTGAATGGTTGTAATAAGGAATAATAAGCTGCAGTTTTGCTAATCTTACTATAGTTCAGCTTTGGGAGCTGCATTACTATTAAATTGGTCCATGAAAATCTGGCAATATTAATTCTATCAAGCATGAAGACTAACTGGATTTGGATCAGGGAGCTTTATTTATAGCATTTTAGTAAGGATTTATTAGTTTAAAGAGGGAACTGTGTGTCTCATGGGTTCTTAAATATTAAATAGAGTAGGAAGCCATGTGCTCCCTTCCAATAGCAACAACAGTTATAACAAAAATAAAAAATTTCAGACAATTTTACATTAACTGCAATTTCCTCATGTTATCCAAAAGTACTTGGTGAAGTAATAGCAAACCCTAGAAAATTTTCAACCACACCATATAAACAACACAGTTGATTGCAGATGTGAGTAGTCTTTATAATATAGCTTACAATTAATTAGAAGGGAAATAAAAGATGATGACTTAGACTAACATGAAAAAAATCGAGTCTTTACATATTGAATAAGCAAATATATATTTCTGTATTTTATCTGTTGTTATTCTCATAGTTTGGGTTTTTAAAAATGCTTTAAACTGCTTTCTGTCTTTTTTCATTTCTTTCTCATCTCTTTGATAAAATTGACATTATGGCATGTTTTTGTCCCAGAATAGTACCTGCAAGTTCAGGACTATGTGGGTTTACTGTGAGTTAAAAGAGTTACAAGGGGAACATCATCATGGTTCATTTTTCCCCCTCTTTTATTTGGAATTGAATTAGTAAATGAAAGTTTTTTGCAGTTTAATTCACTTCTCCATAAAGTTTATGGAGCAGCAACAGCTGGTTGAATCTGTGGCAGAAAAAGCCAACTTCTAGTGGCCAAGCTATTGTTTCAGAATTAAGGGGGAAAACTCATTAACTGTTAATGAAAGCACGGGGAATAAAAACAAATAGCACAGAAACCCTAGCAAATAATTACCTTACACCTGACACAAAGCTGCTTTATCTTTCTGCTCCAACCCTCAGAAATTCCCAACTTATCACTCTGTGGAGCATGAATGAAATTGAGTTTGATTCTCAGAAAAGAACAATAGAGAAATCATCCCGCTTATGGGCCCCTCAGCACGATACTCGGTGGAGAACCTGCCATTGAATATACTAAGGAGTGTATCTAGCGCCCAATTCTTATGACACTTAGGATAGAGGAGCAAATTACCTGCTAATAGCAGGTGAACCCTTGATATAGTTCCCCTAGATCTTGTTTGGAAATACAGGGAGAAAGGACTGAAGGCAGTGGATGTGATTAATGGAGATATGGTGTGTTAGAATATATATCTGTATAGAAATATATTGATTCTGAGCGAGTTGCAGTGGGAAAGTATGTCTCCAGTGGCAAGGGGTCTTGCTTGTGAGAAAGCCACTCTAAGCAAATGGAGTTCTAAGCCCTAATTGTAGAGCTGCTGAGTGGAAATGTCTGTCACTATAGTTTGTGATCATTTATGTCTGATCCCACTAGACTACAGTCGTGGCCACTTGGAACCGCAGTTGTCAGAGCTGTAGACGAATTCAGAGAACATGTGCGGTTATGTTTTAAGGAAAAATGATGTTCTAAATTTAAACAAATCCAAAATGACCACAGTAATTGCTGTTCTTCTATAAAACTTTTCACCCATGCATCTTGAGTAGCTGTAATCATTTTAATTACATGGGAGTGTCTATTTGTATAGTGTTATAGGCTTGTTTCTGTGTGTGCCCAAGGGAGTTGGACCACTTGATATGACACTAAAAACACTTATAACAACATCTCCATCATCAGGAACTAATTGCACTTGGAAGTAAAGCATATTTTTAAATGTTCCCCCACCACAACCATTTGTAGTACTGACCTAGGCTCTGTTTTGTCACGTTGAGTTGTATACCTTCATTGTTGCATACTTTACAGCCGAATGGTCTCGTATTTGACACAGAGGTGGCTGTTAAAAGCCCACTTTGGGTACGTATACTCAGAAACTACAGAAATCACATGGAAGTGACTTTTCCACCTGAAGTTAGTAAATCAAGTGCCAAATCTAGGCAGGTGTTTTGGGTAAGACTTTAAAAGCTGAAGCTGTAAATGCAATATGATATTCTGGATTGAATCCTGGAACAGAAAAAAGACATTAATGGAAAAAACTTGTGAAATCCAAACAAAGTCCATAATTTAGTAAATAGCAACGTACCAATGTTGATTTCTTGGTTTTGGCAGATATACCTTAGTTATGTAAGAAGTTGACATTGGGAGAAACTGGGTGAAAGGTAGTAGGAACTCTGTACTATCTTTACAACACTTATGTAAATCTAAAATAATTCTAAAATTGAAAGCTTATTAAAAATACACAACAAAACAGAAACCCTTCTTGATCTGTGTATTTTAAAAAAAAGCTTTTAATACTATTAATAAAACGTATAGGAGTAGGTTCTTTTCCTTTAGTGGTAGATTTGTCAAATTTCTGAAGCAAGCAGAAAACATTGAGTCCAGATTGATAGTTGATAAATAGTATTTTGTATTTCCCACAAATGTTAAATTTTGCTTGGCAAAACTACCTTTTTTTTTTTTTTAATCTTTTTAAGGATTTTTATTTGGCTCAAAATGAAAATTCTTTTTAACTTTGCAGCTCACTTTCAGATTACAAGCCAGACAATCCATTTAGATTGTGTTGATAATATAATTTCAGTGGATTTGCAGTGATGTAAAATTTGAGCATTTTAACCCTCAGTCCAGTATTTGAGATTTTTTCTGGTTATTACAGAAATTACACAGTGATATAATGTAAGCATAGCTATAAACTTGGTATCCTGATTAGTAAACTAATAAAGGAGGACATATCTACTGGCTTTGGCCAATGAATGTTGTGAGAGGTTTTTTAAATTTTTACTTTTCTTTTCCGTAATAAACTCTACAGTTTATTTTCTAAAGTCCTATATCTGCAGGTGTATGACTCAGTTATGGAGATCTAATACTAATGAACATTTGAAGAAGAGTCTAGATGTGATCATCTAATTTATGGAAAGAGAAGGCTACAGCCATTCTCTTTTTATCATTTTATATCCTCCCTATCTTTCTAGTTTAATTGTAGGAAATAAACCTTTAAAGTGAGGCAATACAGATTCTATGTAGGTTGTTTGGTTTCACTGCTCCCTAGTTGAAATCCAGGGCCAAAACTCTGCAGTGTTTACTGAGATTAGCACTGGTGATTTCCTTTGGAAATTAGTATTTGAGATAATATTAAATTCAATTGAAAATCCCCTTTTCATGTTTGTAAAATGAACTAAGCAGCTGTTGGTGTCCTTTTATCAGCAGACTGTACCTCTGTTTGGGGGATTTTAAGAAAAGCCATTTGCAATGCAGAGCCTTTTCTTCCGGTTTCTGAATGAGCTAACATCTTCCGTCTGAACCTTTTAAAGTATCATAATAGCATCGGCCACTTCTACAAAATACAATCCAATGTATGTTGAAAACACCCAAAAGGGATTAGCATTGTTTTTAATTGCATAATTCAGTATTGTATATGCATTACCTTTTATCAAAGCCATTTTACAGAACAAATATTACCTTCTTAGAGCTTTTAGAATTCCTAGGAGGTTGGTTGCATAGGCTGTAAACTAGAATTACAAAGAGAGAACTTTGTTAAGGTTGCAGAACAAACAGGAATAGAATCCAGCAAAGTCTAGGTTCTCTCTATTTTTACTTCTCTTACTTTTCAGAGAAGGAAAGAATATTGGCCTTGCTACATTATTTTATGTATAGAGGGTTAACCTGTGTGTCAGTCCTTCGATTTTATTTGGAAATATAATGAGAAAGGGGCATTCAGGGTAAAGTTGTAATTATTAGTGGCATAGTATATATGAATACAAATTTATATAGCTATGTTTTCATTTTATGTATGATGGAGAAGTTTCTCTATGGTTGCAAGAGGTCTTCTAACTCTAAGCTAACAGTTCTTAAGTTTTAGTGATAGATTTATTTGAGTGGAAAATTTTCCATCAGGTAAGTTGGTTCTTGAACTTATTTATCTATTTCTCATATGTTAATGGATAGTGGCCATGTTCATCATCAAGTGAAAGATACATCGTTTTTTGCAAATACCAGAAGAGCTACACAAATATTTTTATAAAGATGTCCAAAGGATGACTTTATTTTCTTTCTTTTTTGTCCCTTAGGGGGAGATCTTGGACAGGACAGCTTTGACGATAATCACAGTGGAACTCTTGGCCTGTCCCTCACATCTGATGCACGCTTTTTGTCTGATTATCAAGAAGAGGGTGAGTGTCATCTTTCTAGCTTTTGGGTGACCACTATACTTTGATACCTTTTGTCCTGGCATCTTTGCCTTTTGTCACTTTGTATCCAGCAGACTTTAATGGATTCTGTGTATTGGTAATCACTATTTTGCAAAGAACAACTATTTGTTTAACTGTGGTGCTGATCCTCCTGGGTAATTCAATACTTCTGAAGCTAATGTATTTAGGGAAACACTAATTCCATATTGGAACAGGAAGACATCATTATTGATCTTTTTATAAAAATGGTAGCTCAAAAGCTAAAAGGACATTTTAAGATTGCAGGGCTCCATTTTTACTGTTCTTTTGGATTTCTTAGCTTCATTGAGTTGCATGAGATTTGGAGCTTTCATTTAATGATTATTGGATTAATTTATTGTGGATCATTGGAGACCCTTGAGCTTATCATACTATAATAAGATATCATTTCACTTGCACTTCTCACATACCCCTGACCATATTGGTGTTGTTCAAGAGGGGGTAAAATGAGGAGGCATCGCAACTATAGTGCCATTCTTCCCAGAGCATCAATTTTACTTGAATGTTGGGAATGGGAGGAGTTAAAAAATTCAACGGTTATAAACATTATTTTTATATTCAAAATTCAATGGTATATAACATAGTGGAATGTAAAATATACGTGTCTTTTTAGGATAAGATATACAAATATAAAGATTTTGGCTTGGTAACTGCCAATTTCTGGCTCAGGCTGAGATTTTCCCAGTGTGGGGGATCACTGTGCCTCTTCTGGCATTTGGCCACTTGAGCAGAAGGTTTCATCATCATGGATGTGCATGGCTTTCTTATCAGAGTCTCTTTTGTGCCTTTCAGTAGGTTTAAAAAGGTAGAAATGCGACTGAACTCAACATTAAATTGGAACCATCTTATTCACTTCAGGGTTGGGAATAAAGTTGGCAAATCATTTCTTATGTCTCTTTATTAGTCTGTAATCTTTCCATTTCTTTTTCTTTAAATTGCAAGAGCTCATAATCCTTATTTCCCCCTTCCCTTTTATGTTGCACATTAATTGTTTCATTTAGTCCTTTTGACAATTTGTATTTTCTCCTTTTCATTGAGTTGATAACCTCCACATAAGAACTACAGGTTGAATCACACAGAAACATTTTATTTTGCTTGAGCTTTGTATACTAGCACAATTAGTAATACCCAAGTTTTAAAAGGGGCTTTGTAATATAGGATCTGTGTACTGGTTCAGCTATTACACTAAAAACATTATTTGGATTGAAAGCTTAATACTTACATTGGTAGCTGATTAATAATTGTAGAAAATTAACAGTGCGAAACATGAAGAAATCAACCTTTCATTTGTTTCTGATTGATCTAATGCTTGATAGAATTAGAACAATAGTGCCTCATTAATCCTTAGGTCACTTACTTGGTATTTCCAACTTTCCCAAATACAACTGAGAACACAATAAGTAAGTTAGAAAGACTTCTAAGTGAAAATAGATGTTAGTAAGTCCTGAGTTAACACTTATGTACCTTATTCTTAGGAGAGCTCCTGAGAAACAAATCCTCTTCTTACAAATTTCTAACCAATATAGTGCTTTGGTTTCTCAGCTCACAGTAAGGCTTCATATTAGAAGAAAGGGTACTGTAAAGGCATCAATTAACAAATAACATTGAAGTAAGAAACAGGAAAACAATTAAAGCTTTGTATAGAAAACAAAATCTATACATAAAATTTATATAAGAATTTTTTTAAAAAGTAGTCTGGGACCATATTGTATTATAGAAAAAAAGTGTGCAAACTCTCCGCTAAGAGCTCAGTACCTTAATAAATTAAACCTTTTTAAGCTAGCATTTATTGAGCAATTGTTATGTGCCTTGCATCATCTGTGTTCTAAGCACTTTGCATATATCATCATTTAATCTTCAGAAGAGCCCTAAGAGGTAGATATTAGGATTTTCCTCATTTTACAGACAAGGAAACTGAGACTCAGGGAAGTTAACACAGACAAGGAAACTGAGAATCAGGGAAGATCACACAACTAGGAAGTATTAATAGTAGTGCCAGGATTTACACCTACATAGTCTGGTGGTAAAACCTCTGCTCTTAATCACTCTACTGTCCTTACCACTGTCCTTATCTGAGCTATCCAAAAAGACGGATTCATATTCCAGACATTTTGGCTAAGACCATATAGATACAAATAGTATGTTTAAAAATATTTTCATTAAAAATAGTTGACATTTAAAAAATAGTAACACTTGATATGCTACTTATTCATTATTTTAACAAATACTTATTTGAAAATTCCAAGGTAATATCAAGGCACTGTGATAAACTGAAAGTAAAATATGCAGTGAAAAAGCAGACATGGTCCCTGCCCTTATGGAGCTTACCATCTCATGGGGGAAACACACTATTAATAAGCAGACAAACAAATATAAAGTTAGTGTTGTTATTTGCTGGTGAGATAGCTAAGGCAATTCTTTAGGAAGTAGAAATATTCTCTTTTACCTTTATTGCAGTGAGAGTTATTTTAGGCTCTTGGAATTTTATCTTTATTAGAAAATGTCAAAACATTTCTGTTTTATTATCTTCCACCCTCAGCCAGAGAAGTGTCCTAGACTTACAATTATTAAAGGACACATGGTCTAACCCATCCACCCATAACTTTAGGGATGAGAAGAAATAACCATGGTGCGTGTCGTGTTTGGGTCATGCCTTTGTGAAAACTACAAAGAGATCTAGAAGAATATAGAAACCTGGCCAGGTGCACCACAAAAAATGAAAACCAAGGTTACAGGCTAACCCATGCATAAAAATGAGAGCATGTTGCTACCTAATCACAATTCTTTCTTCTTTTTCTTTGTAAATGCCCACAATTCAAAGGCAGGCTATGTCTTATGGAGAGACACTTACAAGAACATAGCCCCACCATTAGGAGTGAAAACTTGCTAACAAGTAATAAGATTTATATTTCTAAAATAAAAAGCATAATTTCTTCCATATGGAAAGAAAAAAATTTAGTAGGAAACATTGATTATGATAACTGTACCAAAGCCAGACAACTATGAAGCTCAGGCCCTGATGGTTTTCAGTGTTCAAAATATACAATGGATTTTACTGTGTCTGTAAGCTCATTTTGTTGGTATAATAAAGAATTCCTATGTATCTGCATTATTTTTAAAGGTATGTTGGGGAAAGTGATTATTCTATAAACCGGGTATAGTGACTCCTTCTGGAAGAAAGAAAAAATAAAATTGTTTTGGAAGAAACCTAAAGTATGTAATAATGTATTATTTAGTATATATTATTACATTCTAATTAAAGAAAAGGGGTGAATGGATATATTGGACAGATAAATCTGGAAAGAAGTAAGAATGTTTTTAGAGCTTAGTTTTCATCTGAGTGTTGAAGGTTAGAGAAGGTTCTTATTCTCCAGCAAAATGAGAAACAGAATTGGAAAAGTAAAGACTCATAACTATTATTGGAAAAGAGTAGTAATGAATAACTGAAGAGCCTGTTGTTGATTAATTTATTATATGCCTGTTGATTTAAAAGAAATTTCAAAGCTGGTAAAGTAGCAATAGTGGCCATTTTCAACTCCATGCCTTTTATGAAAGGTACATTCAAAAATACATAGATATTCTGGAAATAAAGAAAATCCATTTTTTTACAATGTCATTTTTAGCACTTTTTTTTTTACATTTCTCTGCTTTCATTTTAGTTCTGAAATACAAGTCAATTTTGGATGTAAGATTATGAATAATAATCAGCTTTTGTTGATCATTGTGGGTTTTATTTTATAAGAAGAAGATATGAGTTATGGATGTATTTTAAACAAAACTGTATTAGTATTGTAAACTTAAAATGAAGGTTTACTTTATTGATTAGATTTTTTTGTGGCTAGAGTTCAAGTTTGTCTAAAATTTCATTGTGCCAAAGTTAGAATCCTGGAATCAGGGAGTTGGAAGGGATGATAAAGTCATCTAGTAACAAGAACCATTTATTGAGTGTTTCCTATGCTGTACTAAGTGCTTTTGTGGGTTATCTCATGTAATTTTTAAACCAGTTCAGAGAAGAAGATACTGTTATCCCATTTTACAGGTAAAGAAATGAGGCTTAGGGAAATTAATTGACTTGGCCAAGAATGACATACTATTATAATGCATGTGAGGGATTGGAGTTCCAGTAGATTTCAAAGCTGCTGCTTTTCGAAGAGCTCTGCTAAGCTGTATGTTTGTCTTCTGTAGAAATTCACTCTTATGGGCTTTACAAACTCATTCTCCTTATTGCTTTTTTCCCCTCAATATGTTGATTTTTAAAAATAAATGTATTCAGAGCTAAAAATTATCCTCTAAATACTGCTTTAACTGCATCCCACAAGATTTGATATATACTTCTCTCATATTCATAATTGCATTCTAAGTGTTTTGTAATTTCCTTTTATGATATTCTTTTTAACCTATGTGTTATTTAGAAGCATTTTTTGTGTGTGTGTTTTAGTTCTAATTCTTATCTTGGTTAGTTTTGCAGTTCCTAGTAAGTTTTAAACCTGATTTTTAAGTTACTGATGTTTGATTTTATTACATTATAATCTAAGAACACAGTCTATATCATTTTTATTCTTTAGACTTTGTTGAGATTTCCCTTGTGGCCTAGTAATGATAGCTTATGCTTATGTGCTATATGTACTCCTGAAGTATTTATTGAATACACTCTCACTGTTTTTATTTTTGTAAATAGCATTCTTCACGTCTTTTATATCCTAGATTTTCTTTTATCTGCTGAGAGGTTGTGTTAAAATCTCCAATTACAATTATAGGTAGTACAAATGCAAATTATAGATTATCCATTTTTCCATGTTTTGCTTTATGTTTTCAGGGTCACATTAATATTATTAGGTACTTATCAAGAGCTCTAATTGTCTAAAAAGGTTTCCTCTTAAAAGAGCTCAAATCTTATTCCTAGAACTCCCACTTATTAAGCTAGATTTGCCCATAAATCTATG